AAGTGGCCCGTGTTGTACAGCCTGTTGGTGGACGTATCGTTATCGAAATTTGCTCTAAGATATATGCAGTAATATTTGCCGGAAATAATTGCAAAAATATATTTGTTAGTGAACTTATTTGACTTTAGATGGCCCTAAAAGGGGCTAGTGGGATTAATGGCGGTTTAGTGAGCGTAAAAATTTATAATGACTGAAAAGTTCCAACGGTTATTTATTCAGTCGCTTTATATTATGCTCAACGGTGAAGATCCGGTTCAATTAGGCGACATACTAGAGCCAGCGTTCTGTCAATGGCACAGATCTGCCGCTTGACTCAACTTAGTCAACCAGGATCGCAGAACTCAGATATCTAGATCCAAGGCGACTTGACCCTTTTTTTTAAAGTCTTTGCTTACAAAGATTGTGCTAAATATTCTTTGCTTATTTTATATAATTCAGCCTTTGAAATTTTTACATCTTGTAGATAAACATTCACGTTAGACTTTCGTAGACTTACTAATAAGTTACTGATGCAGTGAAAATAGTAAAACAAAATCTTTTAGAAGAACAAGTAAATTTTCAAAATGACACACTCAAAGTCAACAGAAAAATAATGAGCGTCTGTTTTGATTGCATTATGAATTATGTCAGCTCCACATCCAAGTAATAGGTTCAATTTTGTTAGTATTTGCGCATTTTCTGTTTTTCTCTTCAAAATTTCACGAAACTCGAAAGCCATGACTTTAGCACAATTATAGTGGATTAAAACAGAAAATTATTTTGTCAAGCCACGTTTTAATTCATCCGTTAATACAGTGATGCAATGAGCTTCGCAGAAATGTTCTTTCAATAAATCTATTGCCATAGGAGCCAGCAAATTCACTACAATAGTTTGAGAATTTGTATGCGCACATCTAAATTTTTTATCAAAACATGTCCGATTTAAATTAGAAGCAGTCACTTGAATGGAAGCTGTCATTTTCTTATACCGTGTGATACGTCCATTCACTTTCTGTTGCAGTTAAGTCTAAATCTTTGGTAGTTGGCAAATCGGTTCTTTAAAAAAAAGCAGACATTAACGAGCTGAAAGCCACTGCTGGATCAAGAAGTCTGTTTTTATGACTTGGGATGTTTCCCATTGTACTGACACCTATTTCACACACTAAATTCGATTCGATACTTTTCAGACGTAACGTCTGCTGCATCAGTCCTTTGCCTAATAAATAGATATTTATTTTACAAAAAACTACTGAAGGTACACTTGTATTTAAAACACTCGTGTTTAGACATTTTTGTAGTGGTACAATCCAAATTTTAAAAAATTTTGACATTCGTTTCTGTCATTACATCTTTCACCGTTCGGCTACGTTCATGGGCTCTAACTAGATCCGCACCGAAAAATAATTATAAACAAAGAAATCATCAGTATATATGTACCTACACAATTTATTATGGTGGTAGATACAATAATTGGACTCTAATAGCATAAATATTTGACTCGCAGTTCATAGCTCATTGTGTATCTAAATATTTTTCTTTACAAATGTAAAGAATATCTCGGTGACTGGATATGAAAATATGTATACATAACTATAAGTAAGTGTTAGGTGAAGCCATACCAATTACGTTAAGAGAAATTTAAAATCGGAAAAATATAGACTTTCTGATCAAGCTGCAGCTCTAAGCTCGTTCATGCTTGCATTTTTTCCCGAACCGGAAAATTTTCGATCTCGGGGGGCAGTGAAATTAATCATTTCATAGTGGGACTGTCCCGCCAAAAGCAAGACGTTTGGTTACATAATAGTTATCCAGACTATTAATGTTGTTACGCTTCACTCGTGGCTCATCGGTTTAATCCGTCTCAGCTCTGTAATCTTGTTTTGCTATCCAACTTCCTCTTACTCTTAAAGACTTACAGAGCGTTAGGGGCTGAAATGGCTGATAATATATAGGTGTACACGTTGTGTACGTATGTACATTCGTAAATACTGATATATACTGTAACTCTATAGTTATGAACCATTCGGGTATGGGGTTCTATTAGTGCATTTTCGTGATTTTACCTTACATGTGTAGTTAAGGTATAGTATGTATAGTGTGTGCTCAGTTTGTTCCCACGTCCATGTTTTTGTGAGAATGGATGTATACGTGCATACAACACACATATGAAGAAGCTAGTTACTTTTTTATTTCAATACTGTAAAGATTTACTAGAAAAGTTTTGCATGCTTGGCAGATTAATACATATTCCTAATATGACATGGATTTTTATGATTACTTAACGTTTTAATATTTAAAAATTCACCACATCATAAAAAGAAAGTAAAATGAAAAAGTAATGATTATTCATTTATGGTTGTTAGAAGAGAAAAAACATCGTTTCGCATGAATCGAGAGGTGTTGGTATGCGTAAAAACGTAACCAATATTTTGTATTTTGCATATTTTTTTATGGAATAAAGGAAGAAAATTTTAGAAAAAATTGTATCGCGTTAAGCAATAGTTCAAGGATTTAAAAATAATTTTCTACGGTCATGCACACACAAACATAAAGAAGTATGTCATGTCTCGAAAAAGATGCAAAATGTATGATAAATAACAATTCTTAAGGCTTTTTGAAAGGGTAAAAATCATCACGGCACACAAGTAGAGAAATGTTCGTTGATATACGGACATAACCTTAATTTTATGTATTTTGAAAGTATTATCAGGCTTTGAAAAGGAAAATTTGTGGAACAAATAACATCTTCATAAAAAAATAATTTTTAAAAAGCAAAAATTATTCACCACTGTCATGCGTTTACATAATCTCCAAATGATTAAAATATGTCATATCTTGGTTAAAAAAAATATCGAAAATAATTCGGATAAATTTTCTGAATGGGAAAAAATAATCACTGTGCAAAAATAGAAAGGTGTTGGTTAATATTGAAAGATAGCCCTAATTTATACTGTTTTGGATACATCCATTGAATTAAGGTTGAAAATTTTAGGAAAAGTTACAACATATCTACGAATCTATTACAAATGTACAAATAATGAGATAGTATTTTTGTTTTAACATAACTTAAAAGTTAAAATTTTTACGGTTTCCAAACTTAAAAAACAGTTGCTACACACGAATAAAAAGGGGGCAGTCAATACAAAATTATCTTTGATACTATAGTAATTGGCTATTAGTTGATGTAATAAATACTACAAATCACTTACTATTATTGTGTGTTTAGAGAATAATAAAAGAACAAAATGGTATAATAAGTAAATTTATGAATTATTTTAGATTCATTTTATTTACCATCCATACTTTAAATTATTACCGTAATAAGTTGTTAGATGTTTTAAATCTGCAAGACTTTCCGTGACGACTTCATTTTTAATATTTTCCCTTCTAATTTTGTAGACAACAGCGAAGTAAAAGGAAAGCACTCTAAAAAATAATTCAGTAAAAAGAAGAACCGTTGTTCAAATCGATGTTATGAGCACATATTTAACTCATTTTGTAATATCTATTAACTTCTATAAGTGAGGTATCACTTTTAAATTAGAACATATTTTTGTCTTGAAATTTTTTAGAACGCTGCACTTAGAATTTTTACTCTACATAGTAGGGTCTGGAATAGGGCCTCAATGAGTTAAACATTTAATAAAAAAAATTATTCTAGAAATTTTCTTAACGTTAAATGTAATATCATAAATACACGACGAAACGTGCCAAATAGTTAAATAAAGTTTCTAAAACAAATTTCTTGCTTGACGTACTGAAAATAAACGTTACTGTTAAAGCTGACCGAATCCAGAATATTTGTTTTCACGCGTAGACTACTCTGAACTATTTTTAAACTGTCTGTCAACGTTACAGTTTCCTAAAAATTGTTAATAAAGTTTATCTATAGATGCTTGCATTAGTAGTAAAAACCAGATCACTCAAACCTTCTCCAGTTTTTTCTTCATTAGGCCTAGTAACTATCATTTTATCGTATTTTATTTATTGTTTCATCTTACATAAGTTTCTAACTTGTGTTCGTAATGATTCTTATGTACATCTTTACGTGACTAATAAAAAAAAACTTTTTTTCTCGTAAACGCCCTAATTTATCAAATAAACTATAAAAATAAGACTTTGTTTGAATAAAAGGAATTAATTTTGTTTTATACACACATTTGATGCATTTTGCTTCGTTTGAATCCTACGTGAACATCTTTAGCGTTTTCTATTAATTTATTCTGGCTAATCGAATCTAAAATCACTTGTCCCAGTATTTTATGATATTGCCTTTTGCACACACATTTTATTGATTTAAAAGAGCTTAATTTCATATTCAATCTTTTTTCTTTGTATACCTGTTTCCATGATGACATGTATGTTTAAAAATATTGAAACATATGTTATCAAAGTCTAATAACCTATGTTACATATAAATTCTTGAGTAATTTCTTTTTAAACATTTTGCTAGTGACATGGTTTGGAATTTTAAGATGTTATTTGTTTTTCATTTAACTGTACTCCTTTAAATTATCTTCATAGTAAATATATATTTGAATTTCGTGATAAGCCACCCCGTGAGAAAAAAAAACAGTATTTCTTTAAAACTTTAACAACGATTCATCGTTAATTTTACTTTCATACTTTTTAAAAAGATATTTCCATCAATTGAACGAAAAAAATTAGCTCTCTTGCTTTTTTTTTATAACTTAAATTAAAGTTATTTTGCACTTGAGTGATTTATTCAACGATTTTCGTGAAATTAATTTTTAATTTTGTAAAATTTGTTATGTTTTATGAGTCAATGTCTTAATTTTTAAAATACTTTTTGCAAAAACTAAGATACAAGCAAGAACGAAAAATACTACCGAATGAACTTGTCTATAATTATTTCAGCTTTGACAGCAAGTCAATGATTATAATTTAGATTGTTAATCACTTTAGAACTGAACTCGTTATTGTTAACTTATCTATTAACTTTTACAATAATCACTTAAAAATCCGAAATTCTTATCTCCAAAAACAATTTTTTGTTTTAGAACTCTACCTATGACAGAGAAATCAGGATATAGTTAACTGAGACTTACTACAACTGTTATGTGTGATAAGAGGCCTGCATCACCAGGGTGCTGTCATCCAATAACCAAGCATCCTAAGTTTGAGCATAACAAAAATGTGTGTTTAAAAGAAATGATTAAAATAAATCAAAACTTCAACATGAAAAAAAACTTCTCCTAGCAAAAAAATCGTATCTTAATTAAGTTAATTTTTTTTTTATTACAGGACATACAGAAGAATATGAATGGTTTTAACTTACTAGATGATGTTCAGTTAAAAGAAGTAAGGATTCGCTTAAAAGATGTTAAATATTTAAGCACAAACGCCAGTAACGACTTATCACACAATAATGTTTATGAAGTTGAAACAGTCTTGGGAAAAAAAATTGAAAATGGCAAATCATTTTACTTCATTAAATGGAAAAATTGGAGTTCTCAGTACAATACTTGGGAGCCGCTAGAAAACTTAACGAATTGCTCTGACTTATTAAAGGAGTTTGAAGATGGAAGATCGAAAGTATTAGAAAGGTTTCAGAAATTCACCAATTATTACCCTGATGTAAGTTTGATGGAGCAACACATGCAATCGTTGTTAAGTAAAGGTAGAAAAATTGATTTTTTGATAATCAATACAAACCGCTTGTACGAAAGAATTGATACTTTTTTCAAAATAGGCCCTAAAAAGTGCAAAAATTTGATCGAAAAAATCAAAGAAAACATTTTAGAAATGTTCTTATTTAATGCTAGAACTGAACAGACAGCTTCATTAGAAGAATGGGAAGAAGAAATGAACAGTATAACAAAAGGCAAACCGTCCATAAAAGTTGAAAATTTCATTGATTTGGAACGAGCTCCTCAAGAGTTTCTCTATATAGACGATTATTTACCAGGCTCGGGAGTTATAATACCAGAAGAACCACCAATAGGTTGCGAATGCTCTGTCTGCGATTCGAAATCGAAGTGTTGTTTTACAATGCATGATGGTTGTTTTCCTTACACATCTGCTTGTAGAATCCGTGTTCCTCCTGGAACTCCCATATACGAATGCAACAAACGATGCCATTGTTCTGACAGCTGTCAAAATCGCGTTGTTCAACGTGGTTCTGATATGAAACTATGTGTTTTTAGAACTTCTAATGGCAGAGGATGGGGTGTCAAAACATTACGTGTAATTAAAAAAGGATCGTTTGTCATTCAGTACGTTGGTGAAGTCATAACAAGTGAGGAAGCTGAAAAACGTGGAAAAGAGTATGATGCTGCTGGAAGAACTTATCTTTTTGATCTTGATTACAACGAAACTGAAGGACAATGTCCATTTACGGTTGATGCAGCTGTTTATGGAAATATATCGCATTTTATTAATCATTCATGTGACCCAAACTTAGCTGTGTATGCTGTGTGGATTAATTGTCTGGATCCCAATCTTCCAAAATTAGCATTGTTTGCTACGAGAGATATCAAACAACATGAAGAGATAACATTTGATTATATGTGCCAATCAACGAAAGATGACTTCCTCCGTCAACGGCTCGACTTACCAGGAGAATTAATCAATAACAAATCTCTGCAGACTCGAACTCGGTGTAAATGTGGTGCTAACCTTTGTAGACAATATTTGTTTTAAATCAGAGAATGTCATAACATATTTATGCACGTTTGTGTGTATGTGTGCGGTGCGGTGTATGTATGTGTGTATGTGTGTGATTGGTTCCCTGCAGGCTTACGTTAATGCGTGTGTATATACAATAAATGCACATTTAACAACCTATATACTTCAAATGTAAGAAGGTTGTGTTTTGTAAAAAATCTATTTCTTATTTATATTCTACGTAGATAAANGGCCAATGGCTGGTTCCTGACGAACAAAAATTAAATTTATTTGTTTGTAGAACGAATCTATGAGTTCCACCCTTTACTTATAGAAGTTCAGACATAAAAAAAGCATTATTGTCTGATTCTTTTTCAAAGTCTTCGATAAAAATTGTTTGAATTTTTCCCATAAATTTTTACCATAAACATCTTGAAGCATTAAAAACCAAGTAAAAAACCAGTCATGAGGGGTCGACGGGCCCTCGGTCGTAACGAACTTCCATTCGCTTTTTTGTAGACATTGGCTACGCACAGTTATAATGTAAAGGATAAAATATCAAGTTAACGAAAAAAAAGAATCGATGGTCCGATGTCTATGACAAATAACGATAACTTACAGAAACACTTTCAAAAAACAACACATTACTAAAAGTGAATCGACCAAGTGAATCAGTAATTTGAATATGCACTAAGTTTGAGTTTAGTATAAATTTTATTTGATGTTCGCACATGTCTCACGAGATCAGAAAAAAATTAAAACATGAATTGTGACTGTGTCAACACAACAGCACAATTTTTCTTGGAAACCAACAATTAAGTTTGTAATAACACTTCAAAGTAAGACTTTAAAAAATTAATTAACGAAAACTAATAATTATTGTCTATTTTTTAAAATAACTTTTTATTGTTATAAGATTCATTTGTTCATATTATTATAAATTATTAATCTCTGATCTGTGTACTCATGTAACCTTTTCCAACATAATTATTACTCTTTAATGCGAATCTTAACAATTTTTTTTTTTTTCTTTACAATAGCTCAATAGTGTATATTTTTTTAGCGTACCCTTCGAGAAGCCACATGTTATTTTCAGATCTCTTAAGCGTTAACTGAGTTATCTATAACTAAAAAAATCAATTTTCGTGATAATTTTACTCTAGAAAAAATATTTAAAAAACAGTGATAACATAATATGAAGTCAGTCGCATTTTAATTAGCATAATCACAAGTGTAGAAAGTGGTTATGATATTAAATATACATTATTTGAATCATAGTTTTGTTGTAAGTTCAAGAGTAATTATTAGCGTGTGAAATTCGTACTAAAGGAAAAAATAGTATTGAAAAATAAAAATCAATTATTTAAGAATAAAAAATACGTGAAGGTGGAAGCTTACAATTTATTATAGTCAAAAAATATATTGCTATCTTAGTTTCATTTTAGCACCACCACAGATAAGATTATTTGAAAAAGTTTTAGAGCGAAATTCTTTTACTTTCTACACTCAAACATTTTTATTAAATCAATAAGGAATTATTATTTATCATAAAGCTTTATTATTTTCCAGGTGCATCACATGCAGTGCTTTGCGTCGTGGCAAAATATCGCCACCTAGTTCTCCCAGTTTGTTAACATCTTATTTAGGCTACATGAAAAATCTAAGTCTTAGTTCATTAAAACAATACTTACAGCTGAACCTTAAAGTTTGACGTCAGTAAATAATCTAGGAAGCTAAAGGACTTTTAAATAAATACAATTCTTCTTTGATCATGGTACAAATAACGTAAAAAGTACGGTACATGCGTACTCGTATGGGTTCTTTATAAACCTGTAGAATTTACCTCCATATGTATTCCAATGCAGTAAAAACTGCTAAGAGGAATGACTTCAAATTTTCTGACCAAGAGTAGTTTGATTCATTTAGCTATACCCTCTAACCTCATGTACCTGATAAATAGAACCTTTTCTCCATCATCGAGATTCTGAGTTGGTATCATGTAAATAATAACGAGAAGCCAGCAATGTTGTTGCTTTAGGCATGCTTGATATTTAAACAACACCGTTCTGCAAATCAATAGTTCAATTAAGAGTACATGCAGATTCCCTCAAAAAGCCGTTTTCAACAGAAAATTGTTTCGTATGAATTCTGGCTGTTACAATGCAAGTCCGTACGTGTAAGGGACCCGTACCGTAACGAGTCTTGTCAAAGAAACTAACCCTGTGCCCATGATATATTAAGTATAGTATCAGTTAAGGTGAATGGCAATGAGCACAGCAATACAGCCTCACGCAAAACCCTGGTGACTGGGTCAGTAGGTTATCACAATAATCTAGAAGGAAGAGCAATGTATCTCTTAAGTATAGCGTCCTTTTTATATTATAGTGATGTACGTCCGGCTCTGTCCTACAGGCATTACTCAGGACGCTCAGTACTTAAGAGAGTAAACGAAAAAAAAGGAGAGGGGTTAGGAGTGTCTGACTCTTACAACTAATCAATGTATTGCCTAACTCCTGACAGGATGTCTACGTATAAACACAAAGACCAACTTCTTCTCCACACCTTCTTATCTCGTTGACAAAGTGTAATAGAAAAAGTTCATTGACCATCGAAAATCCACAGAAAAGACGCAACGGCGAGACGCGAACGGTTAACCATCTTAGTACTAATCGCTCCAAACGCTGCTTAATCTCTCTGTGCAACGAAACTGCAACTATACCACTACGCCATCGTGTTGGTTCATAGGATACTTTATTAAATAAATATGCTGGAATGACGTATCGTGTTTATTTACTACTTACCGTCCTTTACATAACCATAGCCCAGAGCCTCTGTAATAGACAGATTATTCTATAATATATCAGTGTACCTCAGAATTGATTAATTCCTTTGTAAAAGTACGGCACGAATCACTAAAAAAAAATTCAAAAATATGCTCTTCTCTATACCATATAAAGATACGAGAGCAAAAAACTATTTTTGGCTTTAAAGTTATGAAACAAGAACGTAAACGAAATTTTCATTAATTGTCAAACGATACATTTTTTCTATAAAATTTTATATCAGTTAACTAATTTTCTTTCGAAGTGTGTTGAGTACGTGTCTTGCTAATAGTGGTATTAGCTTAGTGTTTAGCGGACTATACGTAGGTACAGTAGTTCTCTAAACATTAAGAGTTCCATTACTTATGAAAATAAGCAGATTATTTTCCAAACGGTTTTCAAAAATTATTTGTTTCTAAATAAAATCTTATTAAATTCCCTTTTTATGTGTTTCTGACGTTGATTTGAACAAATATCTTACACGCTTAATACAAAAAAATAATATGTTTAGTAACTCAAGTGGATTACTATATCTCGTGTGTACTTAGTTTTTGAACTAAATTGATAATTATTATGATAGTAATATCTCAGCACGTGTATCCCCATAACCAAGATGTTTTTTCCTGCCATTACTGATTTTCAATTAGAATAATAAATATCCAAAGCTTATAATCCCAAGAAACCTGGTGTTTTCATGTTTCCATGGCCATTCCGTACATTTATCTAAAACTAAAAAATGGAAAAAAATGACAACCAGTGGACAAACACAACATCCTGTAGTACCGCTTTTTATCTTTAAATAGAGTAGTATTACATGCCAGTGAATGTTGCTTTAAGGCGTTAATCACATATTTTTTGACAGACATTATTCAAACATTAAAAGTATATTCGAAATAGCATACAAAATATCCACTAAGAATTGCAGATTGTTTAACTGTACTCATGGAAGAATCACCTAAAATTATATTTATATGATGTGTAGAACTCTCCCAATTTTTTTTCTTACGAAAGATTCCATTCGGATGAACCTACAAAACTTTTAAAGGAATCCACAAGTCGTTTTTTTTAACACAAGAAAGGGGTCGTATACACGTAAAATCATGTATGTAAGTCCATCCATAGAAGAAAAATAATTGCCAGCGTCGCTGCATATTTGCGCTTCTCTCACCTTTCTCAACCTTCACCTTGCTAACTGTGATGAACGCCTTCAAAGCAAAAAATCACTCAGTCTCGAATGAAAAAATTGTAGAAGATTAAAACGCAATAAAAATTAATTACGGTATCTATAGAATACAAGAAAATAGGAAACTGCTGAAAAAAGTTTTGAAAATATTGGAAAAATGAAGAAATGATATAAACAACTATTTATTGACTGTATAATCAACAAATTAATAACAAATAAATATTTATTAGTACGTAGGAAAGCGGCTCTGATAAGAGATATTTTTTGAGTTTAAAAACAAATTATTTAACTACAAAAATTAGCTTATTTGATAAACAATTTGTTGGTTATAATAATTTATAATCAAACCAAATTAATTCAAAATCAGTAAATGAGTATTTAATAAAAAATAAGGTACAAAGCGCACAATAAAAAGTAACAGGAGTTTCGTATGTCAGGACCGCTCATAACAGATAGATGAGGCACTTAATTTGTGTACAGGAGATCGCTAGTTTATATCTGGAGATAGTTTTTTTTTTTTATATTTAGAATTAGTCCGAAAAAAAGAAATAAAATTTAATCAAATAAAAAATGTGTACTGTGCTGGTGTGGAGTGGTGTGATGTAGTGTGATGGGATGGGGACCAGTGCAGAACGGTGGGGTAAAGGGGGTAAGGCGAGAGAGGAAATAATATGAAAAATCCACTTCGGTCACCTATTTCCTCAAGGTCCAAATTATGGAATCCTTGAGTTACTACGGCGCATAACTTGCCTATTGAAGTGTAACTTATAAAAAAGGCAACACTTATGCAATTAACAGAATACTTTACTGAAACTACTTACTCAAGGTCAACTAGTTAAGTAAAGTTATTGTATTAGTTTTTGTATAAGAGAAAAAATAACGAATAACTGTTATGTATACTTTTTCACAATCATAATAACTATATTTAATTAATACTTGTGTTGAGTCGGAGGGACTCTGTGTCGATTGAAATTCATATTAGTATTTTATGCTAGATCCGAAGGTGTCCAAATATACCCACACATGCATACTTGATACTCTTTACGTACCAAATTCAACGTGGTTCTAATTATGATCCGTAGTCATGCTATAAAACCTTGGAGCTGAGAAAACAGAATGAAAAAAAAGAGGAAAGTTATTTAGTTAGAAAATCACTACTGGCTATCAAAATATTCACATTATTTTATTATTAGTGCCCTATGATACAAAAACTACGACGGATATT